AAAATTAACTCTATCCCAGCCAAAACCAGGACACACCTCCACCTGCAACGGGATCATGGTGCCCCATGAACACCAGGAAAAAAGTTTTCTTCCTTCTCCTTTCCCAGCATCCTCAGGACTTCCAGCCACAGCTGGAAAGACCACGGGTTGCTGGGAATGTGTGGCATCGCTCCCGTCTTGGTCTCGAGGTGGCTGCATGTTGGTAGCAACTGGGTGCAGCCAACAACTGTAGTGGAGTGCAGAATGGTCCTGCAGAAATGAGGGGTTTTCACGGTACATCTCTCGTGCCCTCCGTAGGCTCAATCAGCCACCCTACGGCCATCCACACCGGTGCTGCAGAGCTCCGCCTGGTGAAAGGCCCAAACCCCTGCTCTGGAAGAGTAGAGGTGCTGCACAACCACCAGTGGGGAACTGTGTGTGATGATGACTGGAGCCTCCTCGATGCCAGCGTGGTGTGCCAGCAGCTGGGCTGCGGGACCGCCATCTCAGCCTACGGCGCAGCTCACTTTGGCCAGGGATCGGGTCCCATTTGGCTGGACAATGTTCAGTGCAGTGGGACTGAAAATGCCCTGTCTGAATGCATGGCCAGACCTTGGGGTCTCAACAACTGCGACCATGGAGAAGATGCCAGCGTAGTGTGCACAGGTAACCGTGCTTGCGGACCAGGAGCAGAAGTTCAGCAGAGGATGCCCTGCTCTGGGGATTTGTACCAGTTTCACAGCTGCAGCCAAGGGCTGGGCAGCAGACACCTGGGTGGGTGACCTCGTCCCCCTTGTCCCATCTCTTACAACATGCCATGCTGGCACTCTTTAACACACAGGTCCATGAAAGTAAGGAGCAGCAGGGATAATAGGAAGGGAACAACGCCCTTTGGGCAGCATGCAAAAAGTGTGCTTGCGTGGGCACCAAGGAGAGAGGGGAAGCACTGGACTGTGTGCTAGGTGCTCCTAGCAAGGTCCCAATCCACCACGCTGTGGGGACCAGTAGCCCCTGGGCCGTGCAAAGCGGGAGGGCTGAAGTCTTTTTGAAGAAGGGGAAGTGGCAGTAGGGGTCTGCAGAAAGTCTCTCCCTTCGGGGACTGCTGTGGCCCTGTGAAGGTTTCATGGATGGCCACCTGGGAGGACTAAAAAAAAAGATTGCAGCTGTTTATGGTTTGCCTGCGCTCATGTTAAATGTGCACGGGCTCTGAGGTTGCACAGATGGTTTTGTCTGCACCTGAGATGTTTAGCCCCAAACTTCAGATATTCCTCTATGGCTCTCTGTGGGTGTGGGAACCCCCCTGTGCAGAACAGAAGGGAGCATCCTCTGGCATGGGTCTCACCATGGGAGCAAGAAGAGGCACCGTGGGGGAGACCTGATCTGATGCTCCCCCCGTGTCTTGTATCACAAGCAGGCACAACCACCAACACACCAGTTCACCTGCGCCTGGAGAATGGTCCTGGCCGCTGCACCGGGCGTGTGGAGGTGCTCCACCACCATCAGTGGGGGACAGTGTGCGACAAGGGCTGGAGCCTGGCCGAGGCAGCGGTGGTCTGCCGGCAGCTGGGCTGTGGGACGGCCATCTCGGCCCCGGGCTCGGCTCACTTCGGGCAAGGGTCTGGCCGCATCTGGCTGCAAAACGTGAACTGCACGGGGGAAGAAGCTGCCCTCTCCGAATGCCAGTCCAGGCTGTGGGAATCCAACAGCTGTGACCACCGGGAAGACGCTGGTGTGGTGTGCTCAGCTGATCCACGTTAGTTGGGATAAGTACCGTGCGTGTTGGGGTGCAGGATCAGCTCAATCGCGTCCCAGGTAGCCAGGGATGGGTCCCTTTACCCTGCCCTGGTTCAAAAAAATAAATCAAGAGAAGGGTATGAATGCCACGGTAGGTGATGCTTTTCCCTGTGTCGGTGCAGGCTGTCAGACCCCAGCATGCTGTTATGATGATTTTGTGTAGGAAGAGCAAGCCCTTCTACCTTTCCAATAGCGCTAGCTACACAAATTCATTGGGCAATGCCTCCTACCAACTGTCATAGTCACTGCTGACCCCAGGACCCTCCCATAGTCACTACTGACCCCAGGACCCTCCCATAGTCACTGTTGACCCCAGAACCCTTTGTTAGGCTCCAAGCCCCAAGCTCTGGAGCTATGACCCCTCTGTCCACCCCAATGAGAAGCAAATCCCAAGCCAGCCCTGTCGGTGTAGCACTTTTCCCAGGCAGCTGGAGGCTGCACATGAAGAAGGATGCTCTGATTTTCCTGCGGCTTAGCACGCTGCAAAGCCCAACTGGAGCTTTGGATGATGGTCAGGCATGAACGTGCCCCTTGCTCCTTTCGCAGACACGGACACTTCGGGGCAGCACCCACTGCGGCTGGCAAATGGCTCGAACAGCTGCCTGGGGAGAGTCGAGGTCTTTCATGACCAGAAGTGGGGGACCGTGTGCGATGACACCTGGGACCTCCATGATGCCACTGTCGTGTGCAGGCAGCTGGGCTGCGGGATGGCGCTATCAGCACCGGGCTCAGCTCATTTCGGGCCAGGGTCAGATCCCATCTGGATGGACGGCGTTCACTGTACAGGGATGGAGTCAGCCCTCACCGACTGTGAGCTGAGCAGCTGGGGAGAGCACAACTGTGGCCACAGCGAGGATGCTGGTGTGGTGTGCTCAGGTGACACAAGGCCGCAGGGACCGGGGCGGGTGAGCCAGGATGGTTGTGTCCATCCAAGGTGGGGCTTGATGGGTGCTGGAGCTGGTGTTCTACCCCAGGGCTGCGCCAGGCTCTCTCATTTCTGCTCACTCTTCCCCAGCCCCAGCATTGGAGCAGAAGTCAGCTTTCACCCAGCCACTTGGCTTGGAGTTGAGCAAAAATGCCACCCTGCTTTAGACAGGAGTTGTGCATCTAACTCATATTGATTCAGTCTAGACTATGTCCCTCTAGCTCATCAACGACAGCATCCTGGGATGGGCAAAGCCTTGCTTAACAAAAAATAATCCAGACACACCTTTCCTAGACACAGAAGTCCAGTGCCACCGGGGAGGTGGGTGTGGGTCTCCCATGAGCCCCATCTCACAGATGGATACCAGCCCTGCGGTGACATTGCTTATCAAGGCCTCTCGTACAAGGGGATGGAGCAAGGCAATCCATGCCTCGTAGCTGGTCATGGGCGCTGGTGGCTTGCCTTCAGCAGGGCACCAGAAAAAAATGGCTAGAGCAAGTCAGAAGCTCTCATCGCCATATGGGGTCAGAGGGGCCGTCTCACCCCCTTGCACTCTTCCTTGCAGGCACAAGCCCCTTGCAGGTACGGGTGCAGGATGGTCCCGGTCCCTGCGCGGGGCGGGTGGAGGTGCTCTACAACGCTACCTGGTACGGGGTGTGCAGCAGCAGCTGGAGACTGCTGGAAGCCGGGGTGGTCTGCAGGCAGGTGGGGCGCGGGGGCGCCCAGGCCGACGCCGCCGGG